TTACTTCGTAGATACGTTGCAAAGCGTCGGCGTCCGTGACTACAGAGTTCAAATAGAAACGTCACTTAGATTTCCGTGCTAAAATATCCGGACTTTAAATAAGCTGTTCCGGCAGACCCATCCAAAGTGTATTTGCAATATAAATTTCGATGCTTGCGGGTCTTGTCGCGCGGAAGTGCAAGAAGCGTCATTCACTGCAAATCTTTTTCGAGCTAGTGACAAACTCGAGACTGGACGTGAGCGTAGAGACGTCAGACGAGACAAAGCAAAATGCTATACAAATGACGTACGTCGATCACGATAACACCGTGGCAAGAGCGTCTTTTCAGTGCCAATATATCCCGACGCATGAGCTCATTGACTGTCCACATAGTTTTGAAGCGCGTCACTGACTTTCATTGCAATGTATTGTCGGCATGGCGACACACTTGCCGCCTGGACGACGTTTGATAAAGATGTCGAGGAACCTTCAGTACCCTGTACAAGAAACGATCCGTAAAAATAGCTAGTCAAACACAGCCAATGTTGTTTATATACATCTAACCGAGCAAAAAACAAAGCAGCAACAAGTTATTTAAAAAATGGTACGTAGCCGAAAGACTAGTTCGTTGATGCTCGCCACACCTGATCGCGAACAGTTTGACTTATTGATCCCGGAAAAGGGTTTTTTCGTCCCAAAGCCAAGGATCTAATAACGACTTGCCAAAGTCGTTCGTCACAGCAATTTGCTGCACCACCCGCGTACATCCAGTATCTACACCGCCGCTCGTCGCCACAAACGCGCTGTCAAAATAAGTCACGTACAGGTATATGCTGTCTCAACTTCTCGTAAGAATGCTGTCAGTAATCTTAATAAACGCAACAAAGACTTCGTCGCCAAAATTGATATTGTACCCTTTCGAGCACTCAGCATTGTTGCTAGATCAATCGGTCTCGAGACTCATGAGACCATGGACGATTGCATAGATTAGCTGAATCCGGTGTGCTGCTATAATTGAGTTCAGACACAGAGCTCACACTTGTGGCGGAACATCACGGTGGCGTACCCTTATGTCTGCCTGTAGGAGATGATCGACTTGACAATGCCGAACTCGGGGATTTGTCAAATCTCACGTAAAGATCGTAGAGCACGTTCTTATCGTCTTCCGGGAACACTGGTCCGAATGTAATGGAGTGGGAGGCGGAGACAGAGGTATTCTCTGGATAAATGTAGATGAAGAGATCTGGCCATGACTTGACCGGATGAGCTTGAAGAGCACGTGCCCCTTTTCAACGAGGATTTAGTTTCGCGCAAAATTTGCGTTTACTAATTTTTTTTATCAATTCACATTCAACCAATCACAGCGCGAGAGAAGTATGCAGATCCTTGATAAATTGGGGGTGAGTGGTGCTTAGCAAAACGTGTGTGGTGAATAGCTGCTCCCTGTTATAGATTTATTACCTATAAGATAATTTTGTAAGAAATTGTAAATATACACACGTTTAAGTCTGCAAGAAGTATTAACGACGCCAACTAGATGTAAAATATAAGTAAACCTCAGCGTTTTATATTCATAGTAATTGATATTTTTTATTAATGAATAATTTTTAAAATGAAAACTGAGCCGTAGCGTTGAGATAGCTGTATTAGAACGGTAGCTGCGTCTATTTTTGAAAATTTAGATCATAAAGGTTGCTCGCATGTCTTGTGTCATTGCCACAGAATATGGACCGAAACAAACAACATTGCTTGGGTCAACGCAAAAAACATAACTCAATTTTTTTGCTGTTGTATGATCATATGTCAACATATGGTTATACCTTAACTAAACAAGGTCAAAGGCGTAATGCCCTTCACTTGATGATATAAATATTTATGACTGTACCAACAAACATTCAAATTATTTTTGATTTATGGAACTTTTACGATCGCAATTGGAAAGCGACAAGTAGTGTAACGGGGTTACACGTCGACTGGTAGTAGACAATCGATGTGGTGCACACAAGAGATGGGGTCCCCTTTAAAGTGATAATCGAACACATTAAAAATTATTGAAGACTGATGTCTGTCAACCATCGAGTACGAGATCTTTTGAGAGGCTTTATTAGGACAGTAGCGAGTATGTTAAGTACGTTGTTCTAAGGTGTCCTTTTAGGTTAAAAGAAGAAATAAAGTTCAGTTCCCATTTTGATCCGATAGACATGTGCCTCTTTGAGGCGTCTTGTGATCGTGGAGAAGATAGCAACGACTTGTTAAGGCAGCTACTCCTTGTGCACTCTGTGCGTCGATTCTCTGAATCGTTTCGTCCCCCTGGAACAGGGACCGTAAGCTCTCTGAGCTTGTTGACTCTCTGATTCGGGTGCTTCGAACCAAACCTTAGCTCTCTGAGCTGTTGACTCTTCGAGTCGGGTTCTTAGAACCAAAGTTGATCGTAGAGCATTAAAGTCTTCATCTGATTAAAGAGCTGTGTAGCTCCGCTACAAGTAGAGTCACAGTGGATCGGATTTGTGCCGATGTAAGAGATACCACTTCTGTTAAATAAATTATATGACTTTGAAATATATTTCACAATACGATGTTATTATAATGTGCGTCAAGACAGCAATTCCAATGCGTACACGTTGAGCCATTACAATATGTTCTCTGTAATAATTAATTTTTAAATGAGATAGAATATCTCGTCATGCGCCTCATAATTTTTCAAGTGCGCCACATATTGCTGCAAAGGTTGCAGTCGGAGGAGAGGTACATAGAACTTAAGCTAAGATATGGCTTGGTGATGACTTACAGTGAATTTAATGAATAAAAATATCGGATAAAAACGCAATTAACATCACAGCTTGCAATATAAAGGTCATCAAGTCTAAATAGTGGTATTGCGCAATGCATATTAATATATACAATGTCGTTGTATTGGTTCATTTTTACTTAAAAATCATTATGCTGTGAAATTTAAGTAGTGCTGATAATCATTACTCTAGCGAAATTAAATTAATTCGCATGTCTGATACAAGTGGGCGGTAGGTACGCCATAAATTGTACATATACGAAGAAGTAGGGTCGTGAGATTATGCTTGTAACAGCACACTTTCTATCGGAACTAGCGAGGCTAGATTAGTTTATTTTCAATGATAGATAATGAATTATGAAGCTGATTGCTCTTCATAGCTTACAGTGATCTAACTTCAGCCGCCCTTAGTGTCTGTGATATTAGGAAGTGTAATTCAGTATAGCGGACGTATGCCTGGTATACACAATGAGGCACAAGATTATTGAACATTCATCGCGCGCGACATTGATAAAATACTTATATAAAAATTTGTACATGCTCAAAAGAGCACAATTGGACGTTAACTTTCGATACAAATAGAGACAAAAAGTGTCTTATGAGAGGATATTAATGATAGGCCTTCATGCGAAGAGCCTAATCATACAGGATTGGCAAATCAATATAGATTTGACCCATGTTATATACATCATATTGTATCTAATGTACGTGAATATATTATCAGTGTGGACCGAGATGTTCGAAACCTTCTGTCGCAAATTGAGGACCGAGGATAAAGCGTTGCGAATATTTGACATTGGGGGTTTAACATTCTATTAAAGTCAAACAGTGCGAAGTACTGACTCGATAGAAATCGAGCAAGGTGGCCAAAAAGATGGTCCCTTCGATGTGGGTTTAGACGAAGAACTGAGAACCCAATGGCTTATCTTCACATTCCGCTCTAAATTTTTGAACATTTCGGTAATATTTGTAGGTTAGGTGTGAAGAAAGCTATGCTCGTGCTTTTATCATTACTTAAACAATGTTAGCTCGTCTTGATGCTCTTCACTATATAGAACTGACGGGTTTGCTTAGTGTTGCCATGCGTATAAACGACATACTAAAATTTCCATTATTTCCGCCAGCTGGAATGAAACAAAAAGTCCGACATTGTAGCTCTTACCCACACCAATATATATATATATATGCGTCTTGAGCAACGCTGAACCAATTTTTATCATCAAAAAGCTAAAATAAAAATCGGATTAAAAAACAACACGCTCCAAATTTTTATAAGATTTTGAAACCAAGACCAAGCGCAATATTGCCGACAATATTCTTAACCTCTTAGACTTTGTCCGATCCGATGAAGGAAAAATTTATGTACGCTTCGTTGATTTTTAACATCTGATGAGCACACTGACCACAACTTTCTCATGTGATGCATAAATTTCTCGTTGTTGTAAGTACGGAAAGATGATACATAGGCGAATGGGACTAGACTAGGTGTACCCCTTTTTACTACCATTGGTCGGAAGTAAGACGACCATCGTCTGTATCATTTATGAGGTCTTAGGAATGTTTGCACTCGTACAAGCAATATAAAATGTTGGCAAGGTTTTGGTTCGTTTGTTCTTATGGCACACGCAATTCCTTGCATTTTCTTCACTCTTTCCTCATTTGCATAATGATTTATAAATTTTATATTTACATACATGTTTTATCTACTCTTTTCAGTTTCACAGCCTTCATAAATAATTTTTTACTTATCGTCCACTCAATCAGACGCGTAAATTTATAGGCATGATCATGTCAATGCAGACGAAGCTATTTAAAACTATCACTGAACAAGACTCGAAACAATATCGGTGTGGAAGCTTGCGTCATAACAGATCTTTCGGTAATTCTTCAGCTCTCGTAAGTGCAACTAATGTAGTTGACAAAAAACCAAACAATAGTGCGTCATTCAATTATAACTTGTCAATCTTTGCATTTGACAAATCGTGGACAGCTTTCATGCTAACGATGGTTGTAGGTTGGCTTCAAAAAGCGGACAAATGAGTCCGCACAATCACAGATCATCGCTTTCAACTAACCAAGAATTCAAGCTCACGCGCACACGAAGATACTTTGTCTTGAGTCAAACGCATCCGTTCAGCTCGGAACGGGCCGACCCCTTCATTTGAATGAAACGCTATATGCTATAATGCTTTCGCAAATCTTTCTCAATGTCAATGTTAGCTAGTGGCCTGCTTAGAACTCAGATTCGGCTAGGACTAACGCAAATCGTACAGTACTCGTCTCAAAAGCTGCATACATACGGCATACAACCAGTGGGCTTTCGCCTAGCTCATTTTCCGACTGCGTCTCCATAGCTTCATCATCGTTATCGTCGGTTGCCAGCGCACCATAATAATCTCGCAGATACGGACGCGGGCAAATACACCGCAGCACGTATTCCCGCTTGATGGGTACAGGCTTCGGCTGTGCGTCAGTAAGCGTTGAGCCGGTCAGCACTAGTGCCGTCACCAGCTGACGCAGATTATCCTGCTTTAACAATTCCGAAATTCTTACTTGATGGCGATGCGATCGTGATGGCAAGAGAAGTAAATTTATCAGTGCCAAAGAGCTCTGATCTTCTTTTGACACCGGAAAATATCGCAAAAGAGCCAATGCCTTCGACACCAACGCTTCTACACTTTCAATCGTGCGCACCAACTCCCAACATGCATCCAGGGCCATTTCAAATGCAACTTGAAGCTGCCGACCCTGATGAGTGGCTCCTTTTGTTGGCTCATGGCTGTTGCCACTTTGTTGTTTTCTGCTGTTGATCAGAGGAGGTGTCACTTGTGACTCGGCTAAAGCTTCATCCAGCAAAGCGATGGCACGATTGCCGCGTAAGCAGAGCTTTCGCAGCGCGCGATGAACCACAGGCAAATTTTGAGCTGATACGTGCACGGGCAACGCGGTTTCCAGCGCAAATACACAACCTGGTATTGCAGCTGCAAGCATTTGATGAAATAGTTCACACGGTGGCAGTGTCTCCATATAGTGATACACCTTTTCTGACTCTTGGACTGGGTCAAACGACCGTTTTTGACGCTTTAATGGTATCGGCGCACTTGTTTCCCACATTTTTTGCCATTCATGCTCGTGACCAGATCCAAAGCGCATGCGCTTAGATAACATGCCCTGTCCGTCGAACCACCACACACCTTGTCCTTCTGTGGGAAGGTTGCTCAAGGTGGGATCCTTTTTCGATTCAAATGAAATCCAATCTTTCGGCGAATACCATCTGATAAAGTCTGCGAGGCAGCAGCGCGGATTGGCAGCTTTGAAAGCCTGCATGTCAGATATCAGCGCTGCACTCTGAATTTGTTGACGTGTTTTGTCAAATTCCACACTTGCATTTAAGCGGGTGATGAGGTCCTGCTGTTCTTTCGCTACATCTTCGGTTATAGGCATAGACGTTCGGGTGACAGGCTCTAGTAGAGGCTCGTTCGTCTGAAGACAAACAATTCCAAACGCTTCACGAAGAACACCCTCAGGACGCATCGATGACTCACATGGCGTTGGCGAAAGCACTTTATGCTCGATTGAGTCGAAAAACTCTTCATCGCTTGGACTGCTGTCCAATTCATCGTCAGCTTTCCGCGCCATTTCATATGCCAAATCTTTGTCACTTGTGAAGCCCTTAGCGTCGGAATTGAGTTGTATTTCGTGATCTGGGTCGATGCTACCCGTAAAAGTTGACTTCACTTCTTGTGATTTGCTTCAGTCATGAAATATATAAATATGTTAGCATGTAGCATGTTGCGAAAATAGACAATGGTTAGTAGAGTAAGCTTCACCTGAGAATACACCAGTTAAGTAGTTGAAGTTTTTGGTGCAGTAAGCATTGACGAAAGTCTGGTAATGGAAGTCGAATCGAATCTGAGCTCAGCAAAAACAATGTATCCAAAGAACGCGAGCCTGTTTTGCAATCAACACCTCCGCTTCCAAGACCGGTGTCCTGAGCGTCGAAACGTATTACGCATTCCACAATATCAGCAAAATATATGATGAGCAAGCAAATTAACACCGTACCATGAATGGAAGTAATTGCTGCTGAAACCACCGCTCTCTCAACGCTTTCACGAACTCGATCCACAAAAGTGACATGGAGTTAATGCTGGCTACACAACATTTTAATTGTGCCAAATGCGACTCAGTGCGCGAGATCAATATCGTAGTATAATGCCAGCAAAATTAATATACTTACGCAATTGTGACATCCTAGTGGCCAAGATCGATACGAGTTCACCCAATGGCGCACCATGCTGGATAGAACTTGTCATACTCGCCAATGCAGTACGCGACCTACCAATCTGTTCGTCACTTTTTTCTATCATTTGATCGGTATGTTGTTCTCCACCGTCTTGAACGTCGTCAAACAAATCCGAGATAATCCGCCTAATTTCCGCCCCATCTGAGTTTTTCCATGTAGTGACAGACACCAAACTCGAGATAGCATTGCCAAGTACGACAGCTGCACGAGCTGCAGGAATCGAATTCGGAATATTTGATGAATGCGGTTGTCGTAACGCAGTGGCAGCAACGTCGGAGCTTAACATGGTGGTTCCAGTAAGTGACTTAGACCGCGGAGAAAAGGGTGTCATAGGTGGTGCCAACTCGCCCACTGAAATGTCTCTGTTCAATCCTCTGGAATTAGAGTAAATTTGCACAAGATTTGCCATTTGCTTGCTAAGCGGCAAATGTGGCTTGTACTGGTTTTCTGACAGCAAATCTTGAAAGCGTACGCTCAACATCCACTGGGAGGCCGAGCTCAAATCCAGTGTGGAGTGCACTACATTATCGACATACGTGCCTTCACGCAGCTGTGGCCAGCATACCGTAAGGTCCATTCCATCCAAAGGGGTAGTAGCAGCCCCCATAAATGGTGAAGGACGTTTTTTGCCAAACAGTTTGTTCGTAATATGGCAAATATGATGCTGAATTGAGGGTGGCTGCTGGGACTCTAGCGTTCGCCAAGCTTGGTGTTTCTCTGAGCCCGGTTTCTCACGAGGATCGTCTACTCGATTCCACGAATACGTAAACGAGGCAGACACTTTCGTACCAATCGCAAGATCCCCCAACGCATCGGCCTGAACACGACACTTTTGCTCGGCATGCGGCGACAACTGCAGCTTCACCTTAAAGAAGTCGAGCAAACCACTGATGCAGCTCTGGTTAGGGTTTATTTCTGGAATAGAGTCCGTCTCAAATGACATTGACACGTTGCCTGTAGCACCAGGTACAGCTGATCCGATCCATGTGCCGCGAGATGGCTCAAACATCGGCACAAACGCGGGAATCGTACAATTGCAATTGTTTAGCGCTACATGCAACGCCGACAAAAGCATCCTCCCCTCAGTCTGATCAATGTGGACATCTTCCATCGCAAACATGTCTTGGTGACTGTCGTCATCTCCCTTCTGTTCGGCAACGTCCTCGATCCCTTGTCGTTGAATCCTTCCCTTCACGTGTAATATGGATTCCTTGGCCTCGTCCGTCTCATTCCCGTCTTTCTCGGCTTCTTTCTTTATCTCACGTAAAGACGACCTAGTCAGCAGCAAGAACTCGTCAACTCCAAACCACTTGTGCGCGTTATCGTATGTCATCTTCCTGCTAAGATGCGGCTCTCGGTCACCCTTGTACATCGACGCATAGGATGATACCGTTGCCCCCTCTTCTTCTTCTTCCACCCCGTCAGACTGTTCTAGTCCCCAATGGAAGTCCTCACTAGCATTAGCCACCGATAGCATCGTGGGTGTAAAGTGCTCCAGCCCTTCTTGCCACGTCTTGTGCTTTTTCGTGGAAGTCAAAGCGCATGCGGAAGCATTCTCCCCCTTCTGCTGCATACTCTGGTGTCTGGATGCGAATAGAGTAAGCGTGTAGCTTTTGAGCAGATCCTTTCCTGGTGGCTGAAGATACAGCTCCTTCGTCCAAATTGCGGCGTTCAGAGCTTCTAATTGATGTCCCGCTTGAGGCGGCACACTCAACGCCTCGAGCGATACGTGGCTCTTTCCATCCAGGCGCCAGCCAATGATGGCCTGCTCTATGTCCGAGGTGAACTGCTCCATGGCAGTGGCATTTGTGAAGTCGATAAACTGGCTGCTCGGATCCTCCTCCACCTGCATCCTTATCGCTGGGCTCGAAGTTGGAAAGAAGGAAATATAGGAAAAAATGAAATGTTGCACAACTCAGCGGTCGACATGTACCCATAATTAGGGCATTTATTTGAAAACGAAAGATATATTCGGAGTGAATGTGATGATAAAAAGCACGATTATCTTCATGTTTATTAGGCTAGAGAGAATTAATTTTTCAAAGTCGGTTGCACATAATACGAAAAGCAATACTTTAAACTTCAGTTGCACTTGATATGAAAAGCAACACGTCACACACTGTTATGAGAATTAATCTCACTCCAAAGATTCATTCTGTAAAACACTTATCTCAAGATCTGGCACCATAATTACCATTAAGTAGTCTGACAAAACCTATTAGACCCACATACCCGACAGATGGCCGAATATAAGGCGTTAGTTGGACCGTGACCCTCATCTCGACGACGAAAAATACCTTCTTAGAGCGTCTGCTAGTTCATATAAGTCAAATGACCCGAAAAGTCAAGCAACTCGTTAAACCATTTACAACTCGTTAGAATCAACTACACAAGTTCTCAAGACTTGATCAACAGTGTGAGGCTAATACTGTGCTTGCATCAAAGTCAACTGCTCTCTTTTTTGAAGTTATCGAGGGTAATGAGCCTCGCCTACATTGTTTGATTAAAGGCGTTACCACCGACAAGATGAAATAAAATATTCACAATACACTGAGTGCTCATCAGACGTCAGCGCCTAGATCAAAGTACTTGATGCGGCCTTCATGGATCCAATATTCACCCATTATGCGAGCTTTCGGAACTGTAAGAGGACATCCACGGTTTAGGTACGTGCATTCTGTGATGTACCACTCAATTATATCAGTGTCGCTTCGGCCACCAATGGTGCCTGTAACGGGGTGAGCCCGTTGCATGAAAATTGATATCTTTGTATCAATTTTTGAACATTATCTATTCAGATAATGTTCAATTGACTTTACTCGTAAGGAGTAAGGATGAAGGAATATTACCCTCGAGGGTAATATTTCTTTGTTGGGTTGCTCCACCTAATGGTTGATGTTCACGGTACATCAACCAGATTAACCACCAATCGCTGCTGGACGCGCGCAATGGATGGTGAGCAAGAAACCCACATAGGAGATTGTAGTTTAATATAGTTAGCTCAAGACAAAAGATGGTTTAGTAAGAAACAAAACTATATTCAATACAGTTCTACTTTTTCCGTTAGACTGAACTTTCGGGCTTTGTCTGCTTCGCTGCGCTTCCTCACGCCACGTGTACGTGACGTCGGGTGCACATAACCTTGTGCCGAATTGACACAAGGCGTGACCCGTTACAGTGCCTTTCAGGTTTCTTCGATTAGAGGGTACTACCTAACCAAAAAATAAAATGACAAACACTTCGCCATTTTATTGGAACAAGAGTTGTGCGTTTCTTAACGTCTTTGGTCACTAGAGTAAGAAGACTTGTTCAGGCATATAAGCTTTAGCACTAAGTGATGTTGTTTCCTTGATATCATCAGTCCCTCAAACTTGGACTAGAAGATCATTTATCAAATTAGACTCGTTTAGTCGTGTTTTTGTAGATACTAGTGTCCCACTATAAGACTTAAGTCTTCGTGTGAAAAAGGAGATATTACGGCTTCACTACAAAAATATATTATCCGTAAGTCATTATCGTGTACCACTTCTAACATTTTATTAAATTCGTTGCCCAAGGATCCGAAAATTTACTTGATACGATATTGCTGAAGGCAAATCCAACAGCTACACCAACTTACGTACGGTTTAATCACACTTCTTTGACCACACTGTCGTAATTGATATCGATCCTCGACTCTTTTAATTTTGAACGATGGCATTTGTGCAAACAATCGCCTCACTCTGAATCGGCACATTAGAGAAAAAAGCTACTTAAAATAATCGAAGACGCTCCGAAACATGCTTAGAAACGAAAGCGGCGGTAGATTTAAAAAGTGAAGCCGAAATAAGGATGAGTACAGTACCTAGCCGCTTTAAGAGCGTGGTGTTTTAGCGCGCTATCAGCGTTACGTATGACTGTTAGACCTTGAGCTTAATATCGTGACTGATGATCTCGATGAAAGATATATACTGCGGAATATTACACCGATATTGACGTTTATCAAGCTTTAGTATGGGGGTGTTAACGGGGTAGCACTATGTGAAACGAGTGATATGCAATGAGTTTGCGTGACTATACGCAAATATTTAAAGATTTCGCTTAGTAGCCTGTGACTATATCGACTTATTCTAATTTGAATGTAATAATTAGATAATCTAATAGTATGATCAATTTCTTTTCACTTTTCTACATATTTAGTCACGATGCCATAAGTCCGTTATAGGTCCATGGGCCTTGCAACAATGCAGCCTCAACGTGGTTATGTATATAGTCCACCTTAAGTAAATGAGCGCATCAGATAGGATGCAGGCGAGTATGTCGATGAATCGATCATAGTAACCGAGGCCGCGTCCGCGGCACGTAATGATCGGTCAGAGCTACCTGACGCTACAATCTATACCCATGAGGGATGACTGGCGTAATTATAAAACTAAGACATGTAAAACCACTACACAACTTTCTTCGAGACAATACTCGCTCATCATTGTCGATTAAATGATGTTGACGATGACGCAACTTCAAAGGTATGATACGACACGTGCAACAATATTAATTTTCATAGTAAATGAAAATTCGTTAACGTTGGGATTAGTCTAAAACTTTGTTATACCTTTGCAAACGCATAGAATATAGGTCGGTTGAACATAGGTCATCCTCACGGTATATCAGATCGCCAAATGCTTGATAGAGCACAAATTATGTAGCTAGTACGGATAGAGAACAATGTCGCGCCGTGGTCTTAAATAGTAAATGCTCCTAATTGTGACTTGAAATTTTTATGGACCATAACTCCTTGGCTACCACGCGACCATTTTTTTCCAAAGTATGGTCTATAGATGAAGACAATTTATCTCGAGACCTTGTAATTATTTCAATGACCCAACTAATTTATTTAATTAGTGGTGCGTAGAGCTTTATAACGTAGCTATTATTATAAGCGTTAAACGACGGTAAAGGATCAAGAGAAACCCTAAAAGTCAGGATGGCCTTGCAATCTTATAGAATCTGAACTCAGAGTATCTCGGAAATCGATAAATTACTACAATTAGCTTTGGGTCTCGCTCAAACCGCCTGAAAAGTGTAGTTTTGAGTTAAATTCTAGTAGAACGCAAGAGATTCGGTGTATCGGCGATGGCTTACGAAGAGCTGTGTACGATTATATAGTATATGGTGATTGAGGATTAGCGTATATTATTTGAGACTCTAGCAAAATATTCAATGATAGGTAGATAGGCTTTTGACCAGGATGACGCAGATGATTGATATAAACTAATTGTTCATGATTCCTCACTAAATCGAAAGTAGTTTAGGGTCTTCAGAAGGTTTGTACTTTTCGTTCAAAAGGCCAGCTAGACGAATATAAAGCAATTTGTGGTCCTGCCATCTTTTTTAAGACGCAAAAAATACATTATAGAGAGTCGTGCGAGGGCTCAGTTTCGAAAACACAAACTACTTTGTGTAAAATTTGTGCGAAAACCATAGAGTGTTCGCTAACATCTTGTTGGCGAGGACCGTAAATGGTCCAAGATACGCCGGTCGAATAACAACCAGATTAACAGGATGGTATTAAATGTATATTCTTGCCCTTTATTAATAGCAGATATTGAATGATAAATATATATTTTACATTTGTGTGTTTACGCTTGAGGCATCACACTTTTTTGTGAAACCCTGCTTTTTTTGGATATCGCCACACATGTATGCAGTGAAACATTGATCGTCTTAATCTAATTTTATGGACATGAGTTATGGTCATAATAAGGATTTTGCAAGCCGTCCATTATTTTTCTCATATAAATACGCTCCACATGTAAGTAGCTCCAAGGAGAGCGTCAGTGCGGATCGCTGTTCTAGATAGAACATATTTTGGTCGGAGAAGTCATGCCCAGGGTTAGTCGATCATACATACTCACACGTAGTCGAGAGCTGCAATACCGAGGGGTTAGAGGGAACCGAAGCGTGTATCTTCGATGATCCAAATAGCGTATTTGATACATTGATTTGTTTACGGATTATTCGTTGTGCCGAATCTCCTATGTAGCAGATGTATATCTTATATTATGAAGCTTAAGAGCGAAATGAAGGTCAACACAAATAGTTTGTGACGAGCAAACTATGTTGACTGTAACAAGGTAGCCGATGCTTATTTCAACACATTAAAAAGTAAATCTATGAACACGATGTAAATAGAGTGTCTCGAACCTCCACCCACTACATAGGTGCAGGGGAGGTAATTTTACTTAAGAACACGCGTATTCAAAAGGAAAATAAATCTCCAATTGATTTACCGTAAAGTTATAACGATAAATAAAACGTTTGTATCGCTCAAAATAATTTTAACGAAATTAATATAGCACCGCTACCTGCAAATAGCTCTTGAAGCGCAACTAATTGTAATCGGCCTTGAAACTATTTTATATATTGACCTTCGAAAAATATTGAGTAGAGCGGTATCGTATAGCGATATAAAAGGTAAGCTTTCCGTCCATTATTTACTTCTTCAGCATAACTTAGAGACTACTGGTTACATTAATTTGACCCTGGCCTCATTTCTATGTCAATTTAATATAGAACGGATCAACCTTGCAATATAGATAGTATTCGAACTTGATAGAGATCATATATTTTTGCTCACCATGTATCAGATCCGACACCGCCGCTTGCTAAGGCATTTCATCGTAAGATCATCAAAGCTTGCAATACCTGTGTTGCAAACGTAATATCTAGTGAGGATCACGCAAAGTCCATACTCGTGGATTACAATAGGTTCTAGTAGGTAATGCTAAGGGTTGAGCGGTGCAGTCGCATATTCTCATGTTTTACCCGGTGGCAAGTTGCTTGCGCTTCCATGCATATGCTCACCCGTTTTTA